GTGTGTGTGTGTGTGTGTGTGTGTGTGTGTGTGTGTGTGTGTGTGTGTAGGTGTAGCAACTGGCATGCCTTCAATTTCACCAGCTGCTTCACAGAAGAGTGGGTGGTGGGTTTCCTCTTCTGTCCCCCTAGTAATGGGTCTCCCTCACCTGGTGGAGACCACTCCTGCACTGACCTAGCCCTACCCTAGCCTCCTGTTCCTGTGGGCATGGAGAGTCGAGTGCCTCCTTCAGAGCAAAAAGGATCTCTGCTATTTCAATGCTGCTTAATGCAGAGGTTTGCTCCACAGGTCCAGGAAGTAGGGGACTGAGAGTACTGCTGGGAATGAGGGAGGAATCTCCCCAATCCTGGCCACGTCCCACTTGCTCAGTGGTTTTGCCTCTCCCCTGGGTGCCTGCTTTCTCTTCTTTCAGCTGCTCTGTTACCCAGGTCTGTTGTTCAGGGAGTGGATGAAAATCACAGGACTTGGCTGCTTATAACTCATGAGCCTTGGTCAGTGGGGATTCTCTGTGGCCCGCGTCCTGGAGAGGGCTACATGTCTCATAAAAGATCTCATGTCATCAGTCTGGTTTCCTAGCATCTCAGGCAACCTGGGCAGTGGAGAGGGGAGTGTGCAGGTTAGGGGAAAGGAGAGGGAGTCTGAAGTGGTGCTCTGTGACCAGCTTGCTAATGGAGCCGGTGCTGGTTCCGTTTAATTGTACGCATCCTTCCATTGTTCCTCCCTGCACTTTAAGCGGGAAGGGGACGCCAGACTGCCACAGCCTCGTGCTATCCCACCCACACTGGCTTTTATCCCAGGGACTATTTTTGACTGTGAACACAGAGGATTTGAATGCCTTTGAAATAAAATGAATGAATAAATAAACAAATAATCTCTCATGGTTTCCTTAAGCTCTCCCGTGAAATGCTGATTGATTCCTTTATTCCTTTTAGCCCTTGTTACAAGAGAGAAGAAAAATCTTCCCTGTCTCCTGTGGGTTAGGCATTAGCTAGGGGTGTGGGTAGGAGTGCGGAGGATACATCTGGGCCTACCTTCTTCATCCCTCTTCTCTCCTCCTGGGAGGCTCCTGGCTTCAGTCATTTCCACTCCCATCCCATAGAAGCCAGAAAAAGGGAGCTTTTCTTCTTTCTTTTCCTTGGTAGGGCTCCTCCAGGCACAGAGAGAAACCGTCGCTACCACTGTGGGTGTGCAATGTGGGGGATGGGAATGGTGGGAGGCCGGTACATCTTTCCAATTAAAATGCTTCCAATTATATCTGACTTAAGATCGGGGAAGCCCAGTTTCAAATCTGAAGGAAACTGGAACTTGATGGCTTATGATATGGAAAAAAAAAGACACTTTTTTAACAGCGGGCAAGTGGATGCCATCATCAGTTCTCCAACCGGCTGGACACGTGAGCAGAGGTAGGCCTCTCTGCCTGCCTCAGACTCGATCATCTCATCCATAAAATGACAACAAGCTCTCCTTTTTGGAGAGGACTACGAGGGTTAAGAAGGAAGCAGCTGAAGGTAGAGTGCCAGGTCCTCCAGTGGGGTGCTTACCCCGCCAGTCATAACCAGCTGGTGTTGGGTGTCTCTGCAGATTCACCTACACCCTCGGGGAGGGCATGTGGTTGCCCCTCAGCAAGAGCTTTGTGATTCCACCAGCTGAACTGGCCATCAACCCCTCAGCAAAGTGTAAGACAGACATGACAGTGATGGAGGACGCTGTGGAGGTCAGGTGAGTCCAGCCTCGGGACGCTGAGGCCCACAATGGGTTTGGGAGGCTGAGTGGGAAACTACCTGAACGCCCAAGGTGCTGGGAAGGGAATCAAGACAAGTTGGAAGGAGAAGTTGGCAGGCCGCCTTCCAATTCCCCAGATGCAGTGCCAGGATCTACGCTACCTGGGTCAATATTGCACACCCCAAGTCTCACGCACCAAGAGAGGTCATAAAATTAGAGCTGATAAGCACTTCCCACAGGCCCTCAGGACTGACAGGCAATAAAGTGTTAATTCCCTTGCCTGAGTTGAGACCTTCTTCTTTGACCAGGAGTTACAGCCTTGGCTTATTTCCCAGAGATGGAGAATGTCCATAATTTGTTCGTTCAAGGCTCAGAGTATGGTTGATCTTTAATATTTGTAAGAGAGAGTAAGACATGATCCGGTTGGCCAGACAGCAACGTGGAATGTGAGGCTACCTGTTGCACCTGGCGTCCCCTGGCCGCCTCCTACCTCCTGCTCTTTCTCCCTACAGAGAGGAGCTGATGACCTCATCCTCCTTTGACAGCCTGGAGGTCCTCTTAGATTCCTTTGGACCAGTCCGTGATTGCAGCAAGGATAACGGGGGCTGCAGTAAGAACTTCCGTTGCATCTCAGATCGCAAGCTGGACTCCACTGGTTGCGTGGTATGTCTGCCCTGTCGAGCTTGTAATTTCAGGAAGAGGGGCCACAGGATAAGACACAATGCAGTTAGAGTTGAAAGCATGCTGTGAGTAAAAGAGAGGGTCAAGATTGAGTCCTCCCTAGTTGTAACTACTGTCTAGTCTACACTATGGATTTTCTTTTGACAGAGATGAGGCATTTATGGAGTCATTTAATCAAGAGGTATTTATGGAGCACCTACTGTGTGTCCTATAACCATCCTAGGAAAATGTCATGAACTATATAGCATGGTTCTTTCGTGCCAGTCTCGCGCTCTAGTTGGTGAGGGATCCCCTCAAACAATTTGAGAACGAATTAACTGCTTAATAGTATAATATTGACTCTAGTAGGAAATAGACTGCACTTACTATAGTAGGAAATTCTAGAAGAAACCTACCTTTGCCAAGAATCAAATTACATTGACTATAATAGGAAATTTTAGAAGACACATACCTAAGGCCAGAATGATGAAAGAAGTAAGTTATGCCAGGAATGGTAGAGAAAAAACAGACATAGGTCCTCTTTGAGACCATGGCAACGAAGTCCTGCTTCCCCAAATGTGGTTTTCTACTTTATCGGCTATATGGACTTTCGCTACGTGTAAACTATGTGATGCTATGAACTAGAAAGACTATTTGGGTTAGAGTGGACCAAGCTATCTCCCATGCCATGGATATGAAGATTGATGGACCCACGCAGGTAAATGGAGGCAGGAGCAGATGGGCAAGGCTTCAGCTCCTGGGGCCTTTATATTAGTTATTTTCATGCCCATCAACACTTATTGTCAGGTTTCAGCCTTCCCTTCTTTTGAGGGCGGAATGATGCAATCCTGACAGAGAGGAGAGGGAACAGGGCAGAGAAGAAAGACAGGAAAGCCATACACAAAGTTGGCATAAAAGAGAGGAAGAGGTGATTCACTGAGACACGTTGTTATGCAGGGTTTCTGGGCAGAGCTGGGAGCTTCCAGCTCTGGAGACGATATGGAGCCTCATCTTGCTTCCCAGTCTGACAGCTGTGCTCTTGTAAAGGGGCCCAGAGCAGGGGCAAGCTGTGAGGATGCTGGGGCCAATTCCATCTTTCACACCCCCTACTTCCCTGTCTCTGAGCACCTGTCCAGGGAGCTATTCTCCATCAAAGATGGATATGTACCTGGGTCCAGAGTGCGACTCTCTCAGCCCAAAGGCCTCCCCAGACTTTCACAGATTGGGCAGCAGTTGGCAGGAGCCTGATTCCTCTGAGAAGGGACAGAAGAGAAAGAAAAGAAAATGGAAAGAGAGAGGGGCTGAAGGGCAGGGAGGCAGAGGACCTGGCCGGTCCATCAAAAGGAAGGGAAGACAGAACAGAGAGGACTACCAGGAAAACACAAAGAAAAGTGCTCTTTAGGTCGTGTCTTCCAAAGGCAGCCAGGAGGTGAGTCGATGTCCCAGGTGCTCCCCTTCCTACAGCTAGTCTGCTTTCAGATGTCTTACGCAATGAGCTTCCCAACCGGCTCCCCCAGGAGACAATTTCACTGTCTAATGGAGTTCCCAGCTGAGACACATTTTTTAAAAACTATTCAACCTGCATGTCTTCATCCAGATTTCAACCTTTCCTTCCTTGCTGCTCTCTCGGGTGGGTCATTATAAGTACTGAAACACTGTGTGTGCACACATGTAAACATCCCTCCCCTACCACCCTCATACGAGTTTGAGCATGCCCGCACATGCACACACGCGCACATGGATATATTCCCCATGTCTTCCCACTTCTCTGCCCTTTCTCTGAGCCCCTCAGGGTTTGCCTTCTGTTGGTGATCCCAGCCCCTTTTAGTTGGCATATTGCCGTGCTGATGTATTCTTGTACTTTTAAGACCGTGCTCTGTGAGACGGAGCTTGCAGGAATAGTTCCGATGAATATGCATTTGCAATAAGGCCGCTGCATTTGTGAATCGGAGCCACTGCAGAAGTCACCCAATTATACCAGCACTTGGCATTAGCATAAGACTTTGAAGTCACTGGCCCATGTGGCTCTTGGAGGGAGATGGGGGCCGGGCCCATTCAACCGACTGTTTCTCATTGGCTGGGAAGCACGGGATCCCTGAGGCAGGAGGACTGGGGCTTGAGAGCTGACGGGCCACCTCATAATCTTGTGACCCTACTGAGAAAAACTTGACGTTGCGCCTGATCTGATTCCACTGGGCATCGGTACCATCCCGCAGCCTTGGTGCGTTAGCCCAGGGCTTCCGTGTCATCTGGAGGAGGACCAGGGACAAGGGCATCAGCTGCAGCACCTGCAGTGTGGAGAGAATCGGGCTCCCTTCCTCCTTCCATCCACATCAACCCTGACATTCAGTTCTCTGAGTGTCGAACTGAAAGGCTTCCCTGGAAAGGCATATGCTTATGAAAGAAGAGGAGGCACTCAGAGCACGCTGGCCCTTAATGAACCTGGGAGAGGGACAGAGATGCGGGAAGAGACAGGTTTGACCGCATATTTTCCTGACTGAGTTCAAGCCAGACAGGTGGGCTTGGTCCACATCAGCTGCTCAACCTTCCTTCTTTCTAGGAAGGCAGGGCATGTCTCTCTGTTATGCATGGACTCCCACAGGGTTAATTGCTACCCAGTTAATTGCCCTGTTATTTATGTAGTCTCTGGGGACAGGAAACAAATACCCGTGAAAGGCATAGCCCTGTACCAGCCTCAGTCACTCTGTTCCAAACCAGACCACTCTCCAACGGCGGGATTGCTGAACGTTTAGATGATTCCTGGAGCAGAGGTCCGCCCCCCACCGCGGACAACAGGTCTTACTCCTACCCATTGTCCTTACTGTGCCAGGGTGGGAGCAGTGGTCCCCACCTGCACAGCACAGGAGTGCCCGTTCTCTGTTCTGTGGAGCCCCAGGGGGTCCTGCAGAGTCCATGTGTTAGTGACCTATTGCTGCTGTAACAAATTACCACAGGTTTGATGGCCTAAAACAACAGCCATTTTATTATCTTACAGCTCAGTAGGTGAGAATCCAATTCCGTGTCCCTGGGCTAACATGAAGGTGTCAGCAGGGCTGCCTTCCTCTCTAGCGGCTCTGTTCCTGGTCTTTTCCAGCTTCTAGAGGCTGCCCGCATTTTTGGGGCTCATGGTCCCCTTCCTCCGTCTTTAAAGCCAGCTACATTGCATTTTCCTGACCATTCTTCTGTAGGACATCTTCTCTCTCTTCTCCTCTGTCCTCCCTCTTGCACTTTTAAGGAGTCTTGTGATTACATTGAGCTCACCTGGTTAACCCAGGATCATCTCCTCATCTCAAGAGCCTTAACTTGATCTGCAGAGCCCCTTTCGTCACAGGTTCCAGGGATTATGTCGCAGGCATCCTTGGTGCCATCAGTGGGAGACAGCAGTGGGAACTGGGGGAGCCTTGGTGGGTAGGACTCTAGTCTCCTCTCTCCCAGCTTTAACCAGAGCATCTCGATTCTTACCAAGCCTACCTATTGAGGTTTAATATAAAACCGTATTTGAAGTTTGAAAATGATTTCCAACACTATAAAACTATTTTTAAAAAATTATAAAAATGGAAAGCCTGTGCTCTAATGCTTCTTCCTTATCTTCACACTCATCCTGACAGTGACCCCCCAGAATGCCTTCTGCTATGTGAGGTGTCTGCACATCCTTAGGTGAGCAGACTGTGGCCTCGGAAGGTGAGAGGTCTGCTGTCCTGCTTGCTCACGTATTGAACACGTGACCTTCCTTGCCAGAGCATTATGCTCTAATGAGCACTGAATTACCCAGCGACCCTGCCGCCCTCCCGTCCACTTGCTGTCCACAATGGTTTCCCACAGAATGTGTCATTTCACCTCTACCGGAGCGCAGATGTGCGGAGACCATTACAGATGACCGTCTCTCGTTCCCTCTGTAGGACAGTAAGCAGGAGGCTATGCCTCAGAGGCTTTCAGAGAAGTGGGGGCAGGAAGCTGAAATAGAAATTTAATTCCATCAGACTTTTCCCCCTTGCTCCTGCATGGCTTGGGCTTACATGTCAAAGCCCATCAAACAGCCGGGGAAATCATTATTTATGAAAAGAATAAGACTGCCGTGTTGTAAAAAAGAACCTATTTCGAGTAGGCATTATGGTTGCATGTCTTATGAATCATCCAGGTAAGGCAAGGCAGGCTCAGCTGTAGAAAGTTGTTCCTCTTCTCCCAGGGGCCCTGAATACACTCCTGTGTCCATCAGTCATATGCATCTGCCAGCAGAGCCTCCACCTCATAACCTGGAACTGAGGTGTGTGTGTCTCAGGCTGAGTAAGATTTGACTAGACTCCTAAGTAATGAATCAACCAAAAATCATTGATAGAAACAGAGGGGAAAGACAGTGAAGAAAAGGAATTGAATGGGGAGAATCATTTAAATCTCATTAGCACATTATGCTTTAGACCAGTGATAAGTCAAGAAGCCATGAGCATCACATGAAAGACGATTAACCTTGTGTGTTTTAGGGGTCACTGAAATATGAGCTCATATATTAGACTTTCTTGATGGGTGAGGGTTGTTGCCGTAATACATGGAGTTTTCTTCCTGGGACTGCTAAATGTAACCTATGCGAAGAGGGGTTAATGTCTGACCTTGGGGCTCAATCCTGAGCAAACAGTTCTCTTTTAAGGAAGAAGTGAAGGGATTGTCCACAAGCCGGGAGAAGAGAATGGCCAGCACTTGCAGAGGGAAACTACAAGCTCCTCCTGGAGGCCAGATTTCTCTCCTGACAACTGGTCTCTAGCTGCAGATACTTCTAGGAAGAGGCCATGATTTGGAACGTATAGTTTCTTTGTGTTTAGATATAGATTTTGAGGAGCTCAACATGTGACTATAACAGCACATGAAACATTCAGGCAAAAACAAAAGCAAATTTATACCGTGGGAAACTTGATTGGTTAGACTCCTTGGGGATGGGAGTTCTGGTTCAGCAAGGGTTAAGAAGAAAACTCTATTTTTAGTTTCAGCTTCCTTTTTTTGAAATCTTTCAAAAATGTTTTACTCTGAACTGCAGCCCAAGTAAGTTACAGTTCAGTAAAGATAATTGCATCTTTTTTAGTGATTGAGGATCTTGTCTTGCTTTCAAGGTCATTGCTCTGGACAGTTTGCAGTGTTTTGTCCTATAAATATATGCACCCATAATACAGTGTGTGTGTGTGTGTGTGTGTGTGTGTGTGTGTGTGTGTGTGTGTGTGTGTGTGAAGAGAAGGGGAGAGAGAATATTAGGCTGGATCTAGAAATCCATAATTGATTCCAGAATGTACTCAAGGAATTGCCTAAGACAGTTGAACAAACAAACAACAGATCTATGGGATTGCTTTATTTTGTTGACACATTGACTTTATTCTTTAGCAATTCCAAAGATCCAGCTTTTCTCACACTTGAGAAGCAGTATGCCAGAGTGGAAGGGACACAAATGAACACTGGGGTCAGATAGAACTAGGTCCAAATTCTGATTCTGCCATTTTCCACCTCTGTGACCTTAAACAAGTTACTACTAATCTTTCTGAGTCTAAGTCTGTTCACTTATAAAATAAGGGGAAAAAAGTCTAATTGTGAGATTGAAGATAATTTACGTAGATTGTCCTGCACATGGAATTGCTTAATTCCCAATAGCTGTTATTATTATTTTTAGCTTTACTTAAGAGAAAAGAAATCCAACTTGGACAAGGCAGCTGTCTTCTTTACAAATCTCCTACAAAAGGGTAAACATCAGGTGGTCCAATCTGGCACAGCGATGGTTATCTAGACACCAGGGCCAGACAAGATGTGGATGTGCCGGGTTTGGGGGTTCTGGAACAAAGCCTGCTCGGGTTTCATTTGGTGACGTCTTTGTCGAACATCACGCCTGATGGGGCATTCTGAAAAGAAAGCAGGTGGTTGAGGCGATGGGGAGTGCTGGCTAGTGACTGAGATGGCTAAGCTGGTACCAGGGTTGAAACCACGTGAGGTGGGATAACAGAAGCGCTGGCGTTGTCTCTACTTGGATGGCTCTTCTCAAGCTTTATAGAAGGAAAAAAGAACTCATGGCAACCAGTGCAGCCCATTTAATTCCAGTCAAACTTCTGTGTTTCAATACCCACCATGTCCCTGCCTGGGCAGCTTCACAGCGGTGAAGCCAGCTCCCTTCTAGTCGCACATCTGGCCTAACAGCTGGGTGGCCAAGAAAGTGGGTGCGTGGAGGGGGCTAAAGAAATGTGGGGTGCAATCCTCAGCCGCCTCATTGGCTCGTTTACCATCATCTGAAACATCTGGGTGTGTACAGCGTGAGGCAGCCCTTGGAAACATCCTTAAATGCTGTCATCTTCCAGCACTCCAGCTGGCTCCCTGGGGAGAAAGGGGATGGACCAGGCTGAGAGCCTGGCAGGCTCATGGTGGGGGGGCATTTGTTTGGGAAATTGCAGAGTTAGTGTCAGCAAACAGTGCCCATCCTGCTGTGATCTTCAGTTGGGAAGCATGGAGAGAGGGGAGGTGGGTTTTCAGAGGCACACCTGTGACAGCTGCAGGCTACTAGGCCAAGGTGCTTGGCAACCAGGAGCTAGAGCCAGACAGGCAGCAGCGCAGGAGAGGAGGTGTTTAACACTGTTCTACCGAGTTTTAAAAGGCTTTATTTTGCTGTTTGGTTTTAGTTTTGGAGGAGTGTTTTAGCTAGCTGACAGTAGGTGTATAGCAGTCACTAAAATCAGGTCAGATCTACACAGACCCCCAGCTGTGCCCCATATAAGCTGCTGGACCCTGGGCAAGTTATCTTTCCCCTTCCAGCCTGTTGGAAGGAATCAACAGCAATGTAAACGTAGAGTATTTTTTTGCATTGGCTTTTAGATGGAATCCAGTGCAGTAAGAAGTTCATGCGTTAATTGGCAGTGTTAACAGTTTCCAGGTCTGTTAAATGAGGATAATACAGGGTGCTGTGAGATGAATACCTAAAGCACATAGCCTAGCGCCCGGCTACTAGTAAGTGTTCAGGCAACAGTGACTGTGTGGGAGAACCTGATTGTGCTGTGAGCTGGTGATGGTGCAGCCTGCCAAGGTTTCAGGTGCGGTCCTGCCGTGATCAGCCATGTGACATTAGGGAGGTCAAGCTTTCTGTGCCCCCGTTTCTTCACGTGTGAAGTGAGGATGATCAGCCCGCTTACCTTATGGGATGCTGTGAGGGTTGCGTGAGTAAGACGCAGGAATATTAGACACTGCCTGGCTCGTCGTGGATCCCCTGTGAGTGTTCCAACTGCTCACCGAGCCTTTTCGTCTTGCCTGGGACCTGACTGATTATTTCTTCCTGCATTATCTCTTCTGCTGTCATTCTTGGGTAGTTTATTGAGGACGTGGTGGTCCAGAAAAGCTCAGCGTTTTACACTGAGTGTCCAGGGAACTGGGATAAAGCCCAAACCCAAGTATGGCACCTGTGGGTGCTCATGTAGCAGGTACCCTGGTCTGTGCATCTTCCTCAGGGCATCCTTGAGGTGGGAAGGTCATGAGTACCGCCACGCTCACTAGGAGAGAGTGGCTCCGTCCAAGGTCACGGAGAAAGTCCACTTCCTGCTGCCGGCTGGCAGCCCTGGCTCAGTCCGCTTCCTCCAACATTGCCATCCGGTACCAATGTTGACAAAGTGCTTTGGACGTCAAAAATAAAGTCCTATTAATCCTAAGTCCAAACAGCAGCACCCCCTTCCCCTAGCCCAAAGGAGTCTCTTCTAGTGCATTTTAATTCAGGCCCATCACTTCCGCTCTCCTGCCCGCCTGAGGCCCAACTGGGAGGCCAGCACACCTTGGCCCTGTCTTGCTGCAATGCTCCCTTCCATCCTGCTGGTAGGAATCAGCTTTAATGCAAATGTGTGTGATCTGTGCCCAGAGAGAAGAAGCGAGATGTCAAAAAAGGTCACTTGCTTTTATAGGGAGTCCAGCATAGTGGGAAACTCGTGCATTACTTACCAATGTTGATGGTTTCAAGGCTGAATGCTAAAAATAGGCATCAGTGGTTACACTCTGGTTCCCAGAGAACCCAGGTCCCGGGTTCACCCACCTGTGTGGATGCTTTCTGATTGTGCCAGTGCCCATCCGGACTCAGCCCCATGAAGGACAGCTCTGGTTGCTATGACCGCCACATCGGGGTGGACTGCTCTGATGGCTTCAACGGTGGCTGTGAGCAGCTGTGTCTGCAGCAGATGGCGCCCTTCCCGGATGACCCCGCTGTGTACAACATCCTCATGTTCTGCGGGTGAGTTGAACTGCCCATGAGGCCAACCGGCTTACTGGGATGAGGGACTTTCAGGAAAGTAAACTGATGTGAACTGGTCACTCTAGGCCAGCCCTTAGGCTCTGAGGAAAGAGCCTTCAGGACTGGAAAAGGGGTATTTTTAAAGTCAGAGTTGGAAGGACCCTTAGGGGAAATCTAGTGTCACCACTGAAAATGAGGAAACTGACCTAGGGGTTTACCTAAATCATTGCCTGCTTACACCAGAATTTCCAAACTGTGTTTGTGGTGCTATGTTAATTGTTTTGTGACAAAAGGATTCCACGGTCCAAAAACTTGGGAAGGATTGTGTGAAACTAATCAATTATCAAAGACGGGACATGCTGGATTGTTGCCAAAAGCCAGTGCCTGCTGCATAATCATGAGAAGATTATTCAGTGGACTAATAATGTTATTTTATTGTATTTCATTTTATTTTCTTTCTTTGCAAGTGGCAGTTTTCCTGTTTAGTTTCTTGTAAAATCCCATTCCATAAATGGAAGCTTGATCTCAATTTTAAAGTCTCTATAATGTCATCATTATGGTTGACCCACTTCAATTAATGAGGTAAATTCAGCCAAAGTTGCATAGAATTTATTTATTTAATAAACATATATTTGAGCACCCACTTTGTGCAGACAACCTAGTTAGGTGTCAGATATAGGAGACACAGTAGGATGTGAGGTCTGGTCTCCTCTCTCTCAAAGGAGTTTACGATGGGATGTGCGGCCACGAGCACAAAGGAGAATGGGGGAGATGGCAGTGTGAAAGGGCAAGTTGTCAAGATGCTCAGGATGGACTAAGAAGGAGCCAGCCAAATTTAAAATTCTTTCCAGAAACACTGTGTTATGGCTCAAGGAAGGAACCACTGTATCTTGTCCCAGACCTCAGCTGGTGCCATAAAGTCCTTTGTGGGTCTCAAATCAGGTCTGTTGCCTGGACTAATACAGTAGGTCCCTAACTGGACTTTCTTTCCTATTTCGTCAGAATTTGGTACCCATGTACCTTTAGCACTCTCCAAGCCACTATATATAGCCTGCCAAAAGAAGTCCTTGATTTGAGGTTCTTTAGAAAGACCAAATCACATGCACTTATAATTAAAGAGCTCTGCTCACACCTGTTCACACGATAGGTAAATGGTGAATGGGGAAAACAAAGTTACATTAACATAGGCTTCATTTGTACCTCTGCTAATGACGATAGCAGCATTTAATGAGCACCTACTATAGGCTAGGCACAACGTAAGTTCTTTGAGTTCAGTATCTCACTTAATCTTCTCAGTAACCCAACAAAGCAGCTACTGTTTTTCTCACTTTTACAGATGTGGAGTTCAATCAGCTAATTCAAGGTAACCCAGTAAAGGGCGGCGTAATTGCCATGATAATATTGCTTCTCACCACTTAAAACTATGATAATTTGTTCCTCTATATAGAACAGAGTTCTTTATCTTATTGCAACAATTACTATAGATAGCAATAAATGATGTGTTCTAATGTCATGAACATCTATAAATTCCAAATTTGGTATGTTTCTAAGGAGAGATCCAAATTAAATCAATATGCTTTTAAAATGACAGCTTTATCAAAGCTGTTCTTACTTGAACGAACAAATAATGTTCTTCTCACTATAACTACAAATAAAGTCCAATTAATGACTTACGGGTTATTGACCCATATCTACCAACATCAGTATTGCTCTTCCATTAGAGTAACTGCACATGTTTAATGGGGAGGATATCAAGGAGGTGTCCACACAACATGCCCTAACATCTCTTTAGTTCAGGAATGCTACTCTGAATTAAGGGGGAGTTAATCTTATGTTTGGATATATTCAAACAGAGCACAGCAGCAAGATGATCAATCTTTTTAATTTCTTAGCTGACTTGTCACAGGACCAGGTTAGAAGGTTATTAATTTCTTAAGCACAGTGTCATTCTTTTTGCTGCCTAATTACCCTCCAAACAAATGCAGGGTCTGGCCATGTAGATTGGTCTGGAGAAAGACTCTAGAATACTTTGTATTTAAATGTGTTAACTCATTTATAAGCTTATATCCAGTGATTCTTACTCAGACCTATCTGGGAAATCCTACATTTATTAGAGGAGAAAGAACTGCAAAGCTCTGGAAGCACTTATCCGCGAAGGAAAGGTGAGAGGCTCTGTATGATCACATAATGCAAGAAGACTCGGTTTATAGACCTAAGAAACTGAGTTATATAGGGGACAAAATCAAATCAGGATACTCATAATCTTTGGCTATCCAACATTCTCCCAAGGCATTTTTTTCCAATCTGTTGGGTTGCATTGGCTGCATGGCTCATTGATGGAATAACTTCTTATCTTGAGCTTTCCACCATGCTAGGTGCATCGAGGATTACAAGCTTGGTGTGGATGGACGCTCTTGCCAGCTCATCGCAGAGACCTGTCCAGAGGGAGGTGACTGTGGGGAAAGCAGAGAGCTCCCCATGAACCAGACCCTCTTTGGGGAGATGTTCTTTGGTTACAACAACCATTCCAAGGAAGTGGCTGCTGGACAGGTGCTGAAAGGAACATTCAGGTGAACCCCACGTCCATAGCACTGGTTATTCAGGACTGTTGATGGGTCTCTTCTCTGATGGGCCTTAAAGTCAGCATAAAGTCTTGTATCTTGGATCCAGGTAACTGTGACCCTAAAAGGATAGGTTATTTTCTCTCCCCTGGTCTTTACTAGGTTCACACTTCTCCTTCCAGAACCCAAGAACCCTGAACAGTAAAGTGTTAAAATAAATTTTTACCTTGCCCAGGCAGAGACTACAAGATTTTCCATGGAAGCCACCACAAAATGCTCAGGTTCTATCATCCCTCTGAGTCTTGGCGAATGAGTCAATCTAGCAAATCTAGCATAGGTCCTCAGTATGGTCCAAGAATCCCTGAGGATCCCTGAGATCCTCTCAGGGGATATTCAAAGTCCTCCCTTTTCCAACTACAGAGAGGATGGGTTTCCTTCATATACTTCAATCCAAACAATATATTGCAATAAGTTGAATGCAGAGGTGAGAATTCAGCTGTCTTCTATGAAATCAGACATTTAAAAAACTTGCAAAAAATGTAAAATAATGCCACTTGTCTCATCATTTTTCAAGACATGTTAATATTTAATGGATTTATTATTGTCATCTAAAAATATATCAATAAATATTTTTTAATTTTTTCTTTCAATTTCTAATATGGTAAATGTTGATAGATATAATCTACATAAACAAAAGCTACTTGGGGCCTTCAGTTATTTTTAAGAGTGTAAAGGCGGGTTTTGAGAACAAAATGTTTCAAACCACTGACTTAGAATATTTCTAGGAAATTCTCCATTTGACCCCTGTCCCTAATCTATCTTAGGTTATTTGAATACATCATCCTCAGAATCCATGCATTTCAGGAGATGATGGTGGTGGTGATGATGATGATGATGATGATGATGATGTTGAAAGTGTTATAATATGGACCAGCAGTTGATAGCAAGCTAGGTCTGGACTCTTACAGGCAAACTGATAGTAAACTTTCGAGGTATTTTTTGGAGTCAGTTGTGTTTTCTGTTACAGACAGTAGACTTTACTAAAATTTCCCCTTTTAGCCTGGGACCTCATTTGCCAATGGCAAGCAGTGAGGTGTCATAATGAATATTGTGGTGGCTTCATTTGCCCAGATCTTCTGGAGAGGGGATCAGGGGGTAGGGACTGGTGTGGGATGGGGGGAAGAATATTCTCGATCTTGTAAGTAGACCTTTTCAGCTGGTTTATTTCTCATCTCCCTCAGCCCTTGCCATACTTCTCACACTCGTGTCTTGCTCCAGACATGTACCTTGAGTGGGGTCCAGGGTGAGGGAAAGTTTTTGGTCCATTGTGGGTTGAGACATAGATCACTCACCAAAGAGTGGTGTTCACTTGAACACTCAGAGATGAACGTCGGCCTCTGTTTCCAGGCAAAACAACTTTGCTCGAGGTTTAGACCAGCAACTGCCAGATGGTCTTGTGGTGGCCACTGTCCCCCTGGAGAATCAGTGCCTGGAGGAAATCTCGGAACCAACCCCGGACCCAGACTTCTTGACTGGTGAGTGTGCCACACACCTTACTTAACTGGCAGAAACAAACAAGCAGCTCCCTGTGATGCTGTGAGCTCAAGACGCTTGACCTTGCTTATTTTGGTTTCAAAGCCAGTGATTTTCTTGATATGTGATAAAAGCTCAGTCCTAAAACTGAACACTAGTAGGATTATTTGTCAGTGAAACGGCCAATATTATCACATAATTCTCTGCAAAATGGCCATAATAATACCTTTCCCTGCTAGTCTTATTGGGATGCTTTGAAAACAAATGAAATAATAGATATGTAAGAGTTCAGAGTTCTCAGTGGATTAGAGGAAGTGACTAGGTCACAGGAGAGGTAGAAAGAAGGTAGATTGCTTAGAGCCTAAGTATCTGTCATTGGTTCCCCGGCAAGTGCTTCTAGAGCAGTGTGAGAGAGTAGAGAATGCTAGAGCTTTGTTGTCAGACGACCCTGGGTTTGACTCCTGGCTCTGCTACTTTCTAGCTGTGTGACATTAGACAATACAGTCTCTTGGGGTCTCATGGCCCCCATAATAAGATGGGGATCATAACACCTGTCACTCAACGTTGCTTGGAGCCCAACGGCACTCTTCTCCTCGGCTCACTGTGGAACGAAGGTATGGGCTGATTGGGAGAGGCAGGAATACTAGCGGTCATTTCTCCTTTCTGTGCCACTAAACACCCCCAGTTAGCACCTCCTGGACCAAAGAAGGCATTTCAAAGTGTTCCAGGGACCCTTAAGAGGCAGCCAACCGGGAACTCAGCATCACCTACTAGGAGTCTCGACATCAGCTCTTCCACTGTCAGCTTTGTTCATTTCTCCATTACTCCTCTCCCTTCTTCATTCTATGTCTTCCTTATTCTAGACCCTTCTCCCCTTTATTTTCCCCTTTTCTGAAGAATAGCTTGAACTGAGTGTAAGCCTTTTTCAGATATCAAGTTATGTCCGAAAATTTCATTTAGACCGGAATGGGATTAGAAGTAGGTCTGTCTGAGTTAGTATAGCATAGTGATCACTAGCTTAGGCTCTGAATCCTGACAGCTAAGCTCAGTTCTTCACTGGCTGTGTGATCTTGGACAAGTTACTTACCTTCTCCATGGCTCAGTTTTTTACCTGTAAACATGGATATTATAGTATTATCTTTCTTATAGGATTAGTATGAGGAATAAATATTCATGAAGTTCTAAAAACAGTTCCCGATACATACTGAGATGTATGTTTATTAAATATATAAATATACCAAGGAAGAAAGAAAATATGAACATTCAAACTACCAAACTGTGCTTTCCTTATAGAAGAAGGAAAGGGAGCAAGGGAGAAAACAATTAGATATATTCTGGACCAGAAATAAATCTCATCGAAATAAGCTGCCTTCTAAAAGATCACACACACACATACACACACACACAAACCTGAAAAAATTAAAGTGCACCTCTGGGTGTGTCCTGAAAGCCTACGTCTCTAGTGTTTGGCAATCTGGCTTTCTTGTTTCCATGTCATTGGCTGAGAAACACTTGCTGGGTGTGTGTAAAATGCCTTGTAAAGGAGGTGTGAGATGGTGCACAGAAGCAGGACAGGCTCCACACTGCCAATAAACTACCTGGCTTCTGTTTAAAGAGTCACCAGGGCAACTCTCTCACACATTAGAACTTACATGGAAGTGAGATTTCAGTTGTCAGGCTGGGAAGACACAGAGTAGTCCTGGATGCTACCTGAGCTTTTTGGGGAGGAGAGATCTGAGAAGCATCAGAAAAACATGTGCCTGAATCTCCATCTTTGGAAATAAGAAAAAGATCCAAACTTTGTTCAAATCCACAAGAGAAACTTCTTTCTTCCCTGTGCCCTTGGACCTCTCCTGATTTGGTATATCAGAGGCAAAAGGAGTGGAAGGATGTCCTGGTGGGACCTTTCCTTTTTCATGGTCTTGAGACAGTGACATTCCTAAAAGTACAGAGAGAACTTTTCTTGACCTGCTAGTTTTCTACCCAGCCTTTCTTTTTACTGTATTTTGATTAAGAAGTGATACCAGTTAGTCCAAGAGCAGGTATTTCCTTTGATGTAAGAAGGAATCAGTCTTGTTTTTCAAAGCCCAGAATAACTAGAAGAATCAGTTAGAGATGGTTGACTACTTTTCTTCCATATTTATTTCCTAATTCTGGTAACATTTTAATTATATCTTTCTTGAGAGTCATACAGAGAATGTCATATCATGCCGCACTATGTGCTATTATAGGTCACAGTCCCCATAAACCTACAAGCTTAAAAGGTTTTTGGGCGAAAGTGATCTTCAGGTTCTTCTATATCAGCATTTTCAAGCATGTTTTTTTCATGAAAAACCAGCCCTCCACTCATAAATAGGTTCTATCTTCAAATAATTTGGAAGTAGCATCTACCTCTCAGCAATCTGCAGCACCTGAGCATGGAACAGATTCCAAGAAGTCCTGCACTAAAGAAATACCTTTCACTTTACTTAGCCCGGCAATTCCCAAGTCTATTTAACTAGAGAATCCTTTTACACATAACAGCTATTTCGAGCTTTCAGAATTATTGGCTTAAAGAATGTACTGGAAATTTTCTGATGTATGTGTTTTATCTTGCCGATTACCTTCTTCCTTACCAAAACAATTAAGAACTCTTATGCTTTACAAGCCTTTTTGGTGTTATAAGTTGTGTGGAAATAAATGAAGACCAACAAAATGAAAACAGGTGAAGGCTATTTACACACAGCAAGGGAGTCAGCCACCATCACTTGCGTTTTGGCAGAGACTGAGAGGCAGGCAGAGAAGTAGGAAAGCTTCAGAGTGGGAAAAAGGGAGGGCTTCAGATATGCCCTGATAGGCATGTAAGCTGTTGGCAGGTGATCCAACTAACCAGGAGTGAGGTATTCTTAGGTAAATGTTTAGGAGACCTATTTGACTTTCTCTGGTGGAACCTAACTTGGAAGCAAGAACAAAAATTAGGGAAGCTGTCAGTTATTAATCAAGTCCTGGTGAGTTTGGCCTGATTGTTACAGGGGTTATTATTTGGCTTCCTGAACTAGAAGAGATGGTGGTCTGACTTCCTACAAGTCTGACTTAGAGACGGTAGATTAGCTTCTTGGGCTGGTTGCTGTAGATAATAGGGTGGTTTGCTGGGCTGGTTGCTGCAGATTGTGGGTCAGAGTTCTGTTTTTACATGCGGTCTGGCCATCATCCATTTGTATTTTCAGTCTCTCAGCTGAGAAAAAAAAAGAGTCCAGAGGCAGATCAAGGAGGAAGAGGAGGCTGCTGGTCACATTCATGGGTCCGATGGGCACCATAATCACGGAATCTTAAGCATCCCCTTGACATTTCAATAAAATAACAGGAGAAAACTAACTTTCTTTTCTTTTCTTTCTTTCTTTTTCTTTCTTCCTTCCTTCCTTCCTTCCTTCTTTCCTTCCTTCCTTCCTTCCTTCCTTTCTTTCTTCCTCCCTCCTTCCCTCCCTCCCTTCCTCCCTCCCTTTCTTGTTTCCTTCCTCCCTTCTTCTTTATTCTTTCTTTCTTTCCTACCTTGCCTGCCTGCTTGCTTTCCTTCTTTCCTCCCTTCTTTCTTTGTTTCTTTCTTTTTCTATCACATAGGTCTATTCAGTCATTCTTTTTTCAAGCATATGTAGGGAAAAATAATGTTCTTTCTTGAGAAAACAGATATTTTGTTTGGAAAAAAAGTCATTCACAAATGTATCACAAATAATAAAATGAAATAAAAAACTGGGACTAACCGCATTGCAAGGGCACACCGAGAAAGAATCCTATGACTCAGCAAGAAAATAGATATTTTTAAATATCCCTTTCCTTTTAACTAATGGAAATATTATCTGTAAGTGGGCACAGAACAACATTTCCCAAGAATTAACAGTTATATAACTGTTTCCCTGACTATGGTGCAGCATAAAGGCACTCAGTAGAATTGTTGTTTAGCAGTGAAGTAATGGAGTTTGGTTGTTTGGCTCATCCTGGGCGAATGTGGGACACTGTCATCCCTGCCCACCGCCAACACCCGTGCTTCTTTTATTTTCCCTTCCCTCTACTGACCTGAACTAAGGCCTGGGAATTTATAACAAAAACGTCAATTAACAAATGTCAAGTTCACACAATTAGAAGTGATGAGAGAGAGGTAGGGAGGAGGGTGACAACATTATGGAAACCATGTATGTATACGATGTTTTAGCTTTTCTCAATGTGCTTTTATACCCGTAACTTTATTTTGTCCTGACAACCTACCTGTAAAGTAGGCAGGATGAATACTATCATCCCCACTTTTCAGATACGAAAACTGAAAGAAAGGAGTTGCCTAGCCCCAAGTCACACAGCTGGTTGGAATCACAGAATTGAAAAGGAAACAAGGGGTCATCTGAGCTAAGCCGCTCACTTTACAGATGCAACAACTGAGAATCGCAAGGTCCCCTGGGCAGGTAGCCAGAGAGGAAGCTCAGGCCAGTTGATTGGCAGGCAGAAACTGCCCCCTTCGGCAGCATGGGTGCCTTAGAACTCCCGCCTCCTGATTTCCTGCCCTTTTCTTTTCCTGCTAGGAAACAAGTCCATTAAAGGGAATGTTTCCTGATATACTGAAAAATCTTTATCGGGCTCGCTATCTTTTTATTAATAGAGTTTCTGAAATAACAGCAAGCTGATGAGCTAGCATCACTAGAGAATGCATACTACGTAGAACAGTTTTACAAAACATGCACATTATAACTCGAATGAAACGTACCTTGGAGGTATGTGACTGGAGTCTTAAACCTGTAAAGTTAGAATTTCCTTTATACGCTTTTACAATTGACATAAAGGCGAAAAGCCAGCGTATGCAGAAGTATGACTGCCGTCACAAAGCTTAATGCCCTAACAGAAGAGCATTTGAAAGGAAAATTGCTGAAAACCTTCTTTTAGTTTCAAGTAACTTATCTTTGATTACCTGAGATCAGATTTAAGCAATTGATTCAATAAGCACCTCTTCTGACCTTTTTTCCTGTTTTTCTACCGATAATTATTCCCATATGATTCACACAGAAATGGAAATTTGGCAATCACTCAGCTAATTTGATCAGAGTTGACAAGCAGCTAATTAATCCTACCTACTCTTCATCCAGTTTAGGCACTAAATTAGTTGATTTAGCCTGAAGGAAGCATGGGTCAAAATGGCAGGATAATTCACTACATATGTATTATTGCCATTATATTTACACACACACACGCTCACTGTCTATCTAAATTTATCATATATGTGGCCATTATATTTGCATATGTACATATATACGCACACATGTGCATACATCAGGCATAGAAATGAAGCCAAAATTGGTGCTCTAAACTTAGCAAGGTGATTTTTTAATTTCCTGTGGCCTAATTATTTTGTTTCTGTAGCATTTTATATTTATAGTAATGGCTAGAATTCAAGTAGAGTGCCACTCTTTCTACAAGGTGTTCCAGCAAGAACAGCTCATTACAACATCACTAAGAGGCTACAAGGATATATTTATTGAGAGTGACCTTGGATAAGTAACTTGGCTTCCCAGAGCCTCAGTTTTCCCATCTGTAAAATAGGGACCACAAATAAAGTGCCTATCATGTGTCTTGCACATAGATGACACTCAGTATAGGGCCCATTCCTGCCCCTTACTAACTTAGTCATGCTGACACTGTCCCTCCTGGTAAAGACGAAACAAGCATTATCAGCTTCAGAGTAATTAAAACTTAGATACGGAACACAAATCAGTTAAGTGGGACACAACAATCGATGTTATCAGGAACTTGAGCTGAGTCAATTATTGCAGCTATTAAAGAGTGTAAAAACCTGTGTGTTACAGTAAGCCCAGAGTTTCACATGAGTTTATTAAGGGAGTATTGTAGTAGAATAGTTACGAACCCTGTTCTGGTCTCAGACACATCTGGAACTTTATCCTGGCTCTACCTGGTGGCCTAGGGCCCTTGTGCAAACTCCTGTCTAAGCTTCAGTTTTCTCATTTATAAGATGCAGACAATAACACCTAGTTTACAAGGATCATATGACTATATACAAAGTGCTTAGCTGAATGCCTGGTACGGAGTATAGGGTCAATAAGTGATAGCTGTTGTTACTATGATTCCAGAAATTTTCTCCATCCAAAAATGCTTTCTCATTTCCTCACAATTACACCCCCTAAGCCAGTAGACTTGGGACTTGAGAATCCACTACATGCACTGAGCCCGCATTTCCTCTGTCCCTAGGGATGGTGAACTTCAGTGAGGTGTCCGGATACCCCGTCCTGCAGCACTGGAAGGTCCGCTCTGTGTTGTACCACATCAAACTCAAACAAGTGACCGTCTCTCAGGGTGAGCACAACTGCAAGCCATCCCTCCCACCTGCTCCTGGGGTGTGGCATTCCTTCCCAAGGGCACAAGCCTTTTATCAATGTTGAAGATGCCATCCAAAATGTAGCCATTCCACGAGATCTATAACCTAGTCACTCGATTCACCCTTCAGGGCAAATGGCTGGAATCGGATCATTTTCTTAGCATAGATTAAATTGCAAGTCTTATCTTGGATAATAGAAGAGATGGAAAGGGCAAGGCGGGAACCACTGGAGATAAATTTAAACACTTACTTTATCATATTTCCTGGAGTCACCCAGTGTATAGAGAGGATATGCGAAAGCAAACTTTTTATAAATTGACAGAATAAAACTTTCCAAGTGCAAAGAGTATACTTTACTATACCTTAGAGGTTCTATATGATGAAAGAAATAAGGGAAAGAGAGCAAGAAAGAGGAAGGGGAGTGGAAAAATAGAAAATAGCTATGGTTCCTAAAAGCAAGTAAGCAAGATAGATGGATAGATAGATAGATGAATGTAGCTTTATCTACATCTATGTTTTATATATATAAAGATATGTATATATATCTTTATATCTAATAAGTTAAGGAGTAGTGAATTCTGAACTTAGGATAAATTGTTCCAAAACAGAAAAATGAGGCACCTTGTATAAGTATTCTTCAAATCTTAGTGATAAATAGAGAGTTGTGAAGAGAAGTGAGACATATACTAGAGAAAGAAGAGGCATTAAGGATATAAAACATCTCCAAAGTACACAAAGGGACTCAGAACTTTTTATTTTCTATCACGACAGAGTTCTTGGCAAGAAGGGATTGGGATGTGGCTATTACTGAAGTGAGCTCTGCTGGTGCAGAAAACACTTGGAACGAGCAAGGTTACTCGTCATCCTGGAAAAATCCGGCAGTATTTTCCACGTACTCAGTCTGCACGCAACACAGGTGCTATGCCTATCAGGGGATAGCAATCACATATCTCTGTTGCCACGTGCTTTTAAAAGCCACACGTGGCATCATGGACGATGTGGACCTCTGCACTTGGGGTCTCAAGCCTGGGCCGGGCTCTGCCTTGTCCTGATAGGACACAGGTGTGTCAAAAAGAAGGCTGTACAAAGTTGGTCAGGTAGAGAAGGTATTGGATTTGGAAAATTTGTCATAGGTTACCTTTCTGACAAATATGAATCTCTTAAACAGGGAAGGCAAATCCAAGGAGATTTGTCTGGGGAGGAGGCAAACAGATTCCTTCCTCCATTTGCCATTTCAAAGTCTTTATACTTTTGATTTTCTTAAATAAAGGTAAGCAGCATTTTAGTGGCTTTCCTTATCTTTCTTCTTCCATTATCTTCCCATACCCATTTCTCTGCATGAAGGCAGCATCCTGAAAACTTTTTTGGTCACTACCCACAGTTACAGCACATTTTACACCGTGACTTTGTGCACAGGCATGTCCCCACATACACACCACAGAAGGTTCATGAAGCCATACTTCATCTTCCCAAGTGAAATGTTCTCTGCTGGTATTTGCGTTTCTATTTTAGACTGTGCTATTCTTTTTCATTTTTTAAATGCTATTATTTGAGCTCACTAAATTGATTTAATGTCATGACTTGTGATTTGAAACAAAAAACTTTGACTTAAGCAGGGAGGTAGTGGAGATTTGATAATGTTATACTTAACTTGCACGAAGTTAACAACATAACTAACTGGGTGGAAGGAATATTCTTTTAGGAACTGAAATGTCTGATTTAGCTACCTGGAAGTACCTGGTAGCTCCAGCCAGCTCTCCAACGTCACTTTGGGCCACATGACACTTGCACGTTGAGGCTGGTTGGCCTGGGAATCCAGATACCCATATTGTAAGTCCTCACTCTTTTTCTTGGGTGACCTTTCTCCATAGCCCTCAGCAATGCTCTCCACTCCCTAGACGGGGCGACATCTCGTGGGGATTTTGTAGCCTTGTTGGACCAGTTTGGCAACCATTACATCCAGGAAGCTATCTACGGCTTTGAGGAATCCTGCTCTATCTGGTACCCAAACAAGCAGGTCCAGCGGCGACTCTGGCTGGAATACGAAGACATCAGCAAAGGTGAGTGACATGCCCGTCAGCAAGTTCTACTCCCTGTGCAAGTCCTGGCTGCCTAGGTACATCCATAGGACCAAAAATAGGGAGTCTGTAGGTGAAGGACTAATTCAGATTTGCCTCGATGTTCTTGCCCACCCTTTAAATTGCCAAGGTTTGGTTGCTAAAACCAGATGTCAAAATGGGAGTATTTGGGGAAACTTTATATGCAGGAGGGGGTCCAAACTGTATGACCACTGAGCGGGTTATCATAGAGGGAGTCTTCTAAAGGGCTTACCAGCCACCATGCATCCTGTTACCATAGCACGGGCAAAATACTAGACGGTTCTTATGGAGTGGGGGAGAAAAGGAGAGCGTTTCAGTCTCCCCCACCACTCCCTGCCTCCGGCAATCCCATCCTACACTGGCTGGCAACCCCTTCCGGTAATTGCGTAGTAAACCCCTTCTCACTCCATCCTGCCCTGTGTTTGGGGGCAATTTTCCTACTGCTCTGTGCTGTGAGGAAATCTCCATTGCCCCAGGTGTTTGTGTAGCTCTGGATAACAGCCTCCCAAATAAATCTTGGTCCACTGTTTGATGGCAAGTTAGTATTCAGTCCAAGTAAGTGTAAGAAATTGGAATTTCTGGGACCCTTTGAATCACCTTCTGATGTAGGAGGAGTACTGGCTGGTAAATTTGTGTTCTGATCAACCAAGACTGGTTTAGAATTGCCATTCATGGAATTTCTTCTTCTGAGCTTATCCTCATGGCATTCTGATGAGCTCAAATTATGGATGTGTGAGTTGCTAAAGGGCAAGTGATGAAATTAGCACAGTGAAAACTCAAGAAGTAGGTCATCCTAAGATTTAATGATCAAGGGTCCCTCTGAGACTAGGGACCCCCTGCTGTCATCAGTGCTACAGTGGGAGAAAATATGCTCCCGTGGCTGAGATGCCCTTGGTTCTCTGAGCTCCATACAGATTTCTATTTTGTCTTGAGGCATGAGAGCCCCTCTTCTGACTGGGAGCTTTCTTCCAAAAGAAGCAAGAGGCTTGTACCTGGACTGCAGGCTTCCCCCCAGGTCCTGATTCCTCTAAGCTCAAAGAGACAACCGCAGGCTTCTTGTATCCCTTCAAACTTCAGCATCTTAAAATTGTTCTGATTCCAATTTGCCAAGAAGGAGTATAATGTAAGCACATTTCGATAAGACCAGTTCCAGCTGGCAAAACTTTGTTATGTTTCCATGCCAGAGCCTAGCGATTGAACCAAAGGACTAAAGCCTCCTCTATTTCTGTTTGCCAGTGGTTCAAGGATTGCCAGGCTCTAGGACTGCTGGGAGATGCGAGTCTGACCTTCCTCAGAACTCCTGGTTCTACCTCTTGCGTCTATCCTGAGCATTGTAGTATCCTTAAGGTTAAATGCGAAGCCCAGGAGGGAACTTTGTCCATGGCCTTGGCACTATGCCCTATCCCTCTCCATTCTTACACACAGGAACTAGTTTTGTCACAGTCCAACTGTTGGCTTTAGTTCTCATAAATATGATGTATATCACCCCTTGCTTGTTATTGATATTAAAAGATATTCAAATATTTTAGTATGTTTATTTTGATCTCTTGCAGTTGTCCATGTATACCTGCCCCCCAGCTGACTCCTGAATCTTACCTCTGTGTCATAGAGTTTATCTCTCTTATTGTTGGATGTGATTCTTACCCATAAATATTTTTCTTCTCCCTACGCACTAATTTCTTTTTATTCCCAAAGCACAAAGCATGCTACTGATTAAGGATTATAAGTGCATAAGACAAAGGAAGATTTTCTTCTGCTTTTCTGCACTCTGGAGAGGATTGCTCCGGAATGGAATTTATACACTAGTGGTGACAAGTGTTCTGAGAGGGCTATACCTACCATGGCATAAAAGTGACACCTTTTTAGACTCGAGTCCTTTAATTATATGTTCTTGCCTATTCTAACTTTAAAAACTTTCCAGTGAAAAGGGGTTTTGTGTTCTTTGCTTTTGTACCTATGATTAGATACCTAAAATTGCTTATGGATTGAATAGGAAAGAGGTTTATCGGGGTGAAATGAAATGGAAAGATCACAGGACTGAAAGGCTGGGACTCTAGAATCTGCCAGGTGACTTTTGTTTAGTCAATCAACTATAGGCATCTCCCCTGTAAAGCCTTCTGTAGTTTCTTCCAGCTCTGACAGTTTATGGATCCTAGAAGTCCCCTTTATGTGAGAGGCTTTCTCAGGTGACACATTTGAGTAAAAGACTTTCCTCTTCTTTCTACAAATCACTACACAACTTCTTGAGGGTAGGTTCTGTGCCTTATTCAACTTTGAAATCCCAGGGTCCAGCACAGAGCCGGGCACATGACAGTCCCTCAGCAAGTGTTTGTTATTGTTGAGGTTGTTGTTAGTGATGGCAGTTGGGGTTGTCTCGGTGGGAACGGTGGTTAAAAGCTCTTCTGATGTGGTGACTTCCCACGTGGGTTTTATCATAGACACATAAAACGCTTCAGGTACGCCTGACTGATAAGAACTCAGAGATGGGTATTTTTGAACAGATCTTCAGGAGGCAGCCTTGTATTCAACAGCCACTTATTCGTCGTACAACCACTATATGGTTTGGTCAGACCATTATGTAGGAGCACCTGTCTTAAGATAAGTCTGACTGGAGCCCATGAATAACATATTTCCATTTCTCACGGTCTAAGATTAGCCTCTCTTCTTTTTCTTTTACAGAGCAAATAAAGGCTATCTGAATTGAAATTTCCAACCTCACTCTCTCTAATTCTAAACTGACTTCCATCTTTTCTCATCATCCTTTGCCCTTGTGCCTCAGGAAATGCAGTGAGTTCCTCCTCTTCAGGCGAATCTCTCCACCAGTACACTTGCTTCCTTCCCTCTCTGCTTCCTCTTAGTCCTCACTCATTCATTAGCCTCCTCTTTTTTCATCTCTGCAACCTCTTCAGCCACAATTATCCCTTCGCCAACCTTCTATTTTCCAAAAAATAATATTTTTATAAATATGCAACTCTTTTACCACTGTTTCCTTTCAACATGTCACCATCAAATTTCTTGAGTAAGTTGTTTATACATCTTTTCTCTACTTCCTCAACTTCTTTTCACTCTTCCAGTAATTGCTTTCAGCCCCGTCACCCTTACAGAAATTGCTCTGGAGAAGGAAAAAAAAGACTTTATAAGCAGAGGTTCATTTTTCTATTCTGTGACCATTTCATCTATCTCAGCTAAAGAATTTGTCCCTTTTGGCCAGGTCTGCCTTCTTGCAAATCCTCTCCCTTTGTATCTCTGATGCTATTCTGTCCAGATTCTCTTCATAAGTCTTTGACCTTTATTTCTCATTCTTTTTTGCCCTCACTCCTCTAAAGAAATCGCTTACATTTTGGTCATTTTCTAGGATTTCACCCTTAATGTTCATTTCTTCTTCACTGTTGCTGGGTGATTCTCTTTTGTATCTACCTCAACCCACATCTCAAATCCTTCCCTTCTCCCTGAAATTCAAAAGCTCATTTGTCTGTGAGTGTTTACCATTTCTACCTGGATATTCTATAGGCACCTCAATGATCAGCATCTCTTTTCTCTGTATCTGCTAGTAGATTCATGAACCACATTGATGGGTCAAAATATAAAGTGAGGGGTCTTTTATATTCTCCTCCACCCTCCACATTCAACCATTTACAAGTTCTGTTCTTTTTACCCCCTAAATATTTCTTCAGCAGGTGTCTTCTCGTCCGTTTCTCAAAATTGTATGAGTTTACAGTATCAGCTCTCATAAGAAATATTGAAATAGCATCCTCAGGTGCCTTCTTCAGTTTCCTGCCACTCTCGTCCATTCTGCATTTCACTATCTGTTATCTTTTTTAAATGCCCCTTAGTGACATGACTCTTGAGCTTGGAGCCCGTCACTAATGCCCTACTGCCTTCTCAGCATGAACATGGCTTCACTCCCTGTATTAGTTTCCCATGGCTGCTGTAACAAATGACTACAAACTTGGTGGCTTAAAACAACATAAATTTATTTCCTGAAAGTTCTGGGGCCAGAGATCCAAAATCAGTTTCACTGGTCTAAGCTCAAGGTACTAGTGGGGCTGGAGGATCCTTCTAGAGGCTCTAGGAGAGAACCCCTTTTTTGCCCTTTCCAGCTCACAGTGGCCTCCTGTATTCCTTGGCTTGTGGCCCCTTTCTCCATCTTCAAAGTGCATCACTCCAATGTCTGAGTCACATGGTCTTCTCTCTGACTCTTTCTGCCTCCTCACGTAAGGACCCTTTTGATTACATTGAGTCCACCCAGATAATGCAGGATAATCTCCCCATCTCAAGAGTCTTAATTTAAGCATATCTGCACACTCTCTTTTGCGAGTCACAGGTAACATTCATAGGTTCTAGAAATTAGGACCTGGGCATCTTTGGGAGCAAATATTCAGCCCACCACACCCTCTACCCTCTCTGGCTGCTGCATCACTGACCATTCCCTACCCCGAGCATTCCTCCACTCTGATGACACAAGACTGCTTGCTATCGGTCCAAAACCCTTGCATTTGATTCCAGACAGTTTAAGGCCTCAGAGTCTCCCTTCCTGCTCCAGTCTGAGGCCAGAGGTATGTGCTCTAAAGTCTCCACAATTACTCGTCCCACTCAGAAACTTTCTCTTGGGCCCTCTCTTGCCCACCCGGCCCCCTGACCCTGCTCCATTCCCTGGTGTCTGTTCCTTTGCCTCATTTCTGGATGCATCTTATTCTCTTCTTAGGCCCTTAGGATCAGCAGATCAGTCTTCCTGGCTATGATTTCTGTTTCTTGCTTGTGTCTTTTAATCGCCCCCTTCAGCTCTATAAATTGTCATCTGCAATTAAATGATACCTTGACCCAGTGTCAGGCCCCAACTCTGGGTCCAGGGTCAAGGTTCCCACTGGTTCAGAAGAGGAGATTGAGCCTTTCCACACTTCTGAGCCTACCTAACCTTGTCCTCTATCTACCCCTATTCTACCATCACCTTTCTACTCTTC